TAGGACAGTACAAATTGGATTTGAGCTCTCAGCTTGCCCTCAGGGTTCCTTCCCAGTCCACACCCCCTCTCAGAGGCCACGCCCTCCTCCATTGCTTTTGCTTGGCTGGGAAGGGCCCTCCTTGAACCCGGGGAGAGGAGTGTGCCTCTTGCTTGTCTGGGATGGAGGCTGGAGAGATTAAGGGGTGCAGAGGTGCGTGTGTGCAGTGACCTTCGACTTTTGCAAGGCTATGAGTCACATCCATTGCATTGACCCTTTTGCCTCTACTTCTGTTTTCAATGAATAATTGAAATGCCTATCGATTGATAAATCAAACCCTCCAAGCATCCCTATTTTCCAAGGACAGTCCCAGATTTAAAGAATCCATTCTGGTTTCTGAATTGATCCCAGAATGTCCCACTTTTCCTTAGGACGTCCCTATTTCCATCGGAAAAATGCTGGAGGGTACGGAGTGATGCGACCCCCCACAAGCCAAGGACATAAGTAACTACACAACCTTTAGAAGACATCTGAAGGCAGCCCTGCAAGGGAAGTTTTTTAATGTTTAATGTTTTATGATGTTTTTATATATGTTGGAAGTGGCCCAGAGTGGCTGGGGCAACCCTGTCAAATAAATAGTACAATCATTATGAATATTATAGAATTTGTTGTTCTTGTTGTTTAGTCGTTTAGTCGTGTCCGACTCTTCGTGACCCCATGGACCAGAGCACGCCAGGCACTCCTGTCTTCCACTGCCTCCCGCAGTTTGGTCAAACTCATGCTGGTAGCTTCGAGAACACTGTCCAACCATCTCGTCCTCTGTCGTCCTCTTCTCCTTGTGCCCTCAATCTTTCATATTATGGAATAGGACATCCCTCTTTTCATCAGATATAACGTTGGAGGATGTACAAAATACAGAAAATCAGACATGATAAAAGCTTCCAGTGAAGCCATGTAAGGCAGTTCCTCATGCCCAGCAAGGGGCAACCAGGTCGCCCCTCACAGTCTGCAGTAAGTGACCTGGTCTCTCTCACCTGCCATTAAGGAAAGCCTGGCTGGCTGGATCAGAATGTGACTGGCAGTCGGTGAAGAACAGGCGATGCATCTTTGTAACAGCTCTGCTGCACTGAGTCCAAGCTCTCTGACAAACTGGTCCTACTCAGGCTGGTGTTGCTTTGCTATGGCAACTGCTCACATTGGGCCGGAGAAGGAGAAAGTGAGATTTGTCATCATGCAAAGCAAACTGTCTGGCCACTGTCTCTCCTTCACGGCTGACAGGCTGCTTGGGGCATTTTTAAATCTATCACGATATCACAGCACTTCTGAAGCTTGTTTTTGGCCCAGGGCAGGGTGTTCTTCTTCCCTCCCCTCCCCACCTTTTGCTATGCCACTGCTGTGCAGAAAAACCTTCCCATTGCATGCAGACATCCCGTTTGCCACTGAGCTTGTTAGCAAAATGCATATGATTGCAACTTGGTTTGTGAGGTTGCAGAAGAGTGACAGCCACCCACGTCTGATGTCACTGCAGTGGGTGCCGAGCCACGCTCTTGCTGACGCTGCGCACATTCACAGCCCCTCATCTCCTTGCAAGAGAGGAACGAGAGGCCTCTCTCCCCAGGAGGATGGCCAGACTGGAGCATGGAGCATCCCTACCATGGCATTTCAAACAGTCCCTGGGACTGCCTACTGAAGAGCAGCCCATTTCCTGGGAAGGGAGGAGAGCGCACCCTAGTGGTCAGCTGGAGAGCCTGGCGCCACCTCAGAGGACGGATTCTGAAGAAGTCCCTGAGTCTGCAGGAAGCCTCGATCTCCTCCTGACAAAGAGGGAAAGTGCAGTTCTTTGAAACTTTCCCTTTAGGTAATGAAGGCCACCAGCTTGGATGGCTTTAGAAGAGGATTAGATAAATTCATGGAGGTTGAGGCTACCCATGGCTGGTGATCTGCTTCAATTTTTGTGTGGCTTGTTATTGTATTGCAATTGTTGTGAACCATCTTGATTTTTTGCTACGGAGTTGCAGCATACAAATATTTTAGTAAAATAAAATAAAATGACTTTATTTTCTCATTCCTGAATCTTCCAGCCGTCAGCTGCATTGAATATCCAGGAGTTTGAGTGTTATGTGAGAGGGAGAAAAACGTTTCTCTATCCAATTTCTCCATGCCATGCATAATTTTTTAAACTTTCAGCATGTCAGTTTTTACTTGCCTTTTCTGAACCTTTTCCCAACTCTGCAGCATCCTTTTTGAGGTGAGGCAATCAGAACTGTACACAGTATTCCAAATGCAGTCGCACCGTAGATTTGCATAACAGCACTGCGATGATAACAGCACTGCGATGTTGGAAGTCTTATTCTGAATTCCATTCCCAATGGTCCCTAGCATCAAATTTGCCTTTTCCACAGCTGCTGGGTTGACATCTTCCTTGAACTACCTACTATGACCCCAAGGTCTTGTTCCTGGTCAGTTGCTGTCAGTTCACACTCCAAGAGCATATATGGGAAATTAATTTTTTCTTTCTTTCCCTATTGTGCATCACTTTGAATTGCATTTGCCATTTTAATGCCCATTGGCTCAACAGCTGCTTGTTGTTTTTGCTGCAACCACTCTGGAAAATGCACTTTGGTTGCAAATCTTTCACAACACCAAGATTTGCTGTGAGATTAAGGCCTCCAAAACGTTACGTTTTAAGAAAAGAAAAGAGCTTTTGGCTTGTCTTAACTGGGAGAGCAGGAAACCTCAGGAAGTGTAAGAATTAGGGATGTGTGTTTCATCTGCGAGACACTGGATGAAACGGACCCACGTTTTCCAGCTTTCTTTGATGGAATCCAGCAACCCACAGGCTTCTCCGGGCAGCCTGCTGGATATTGGCTAGCATGAGAGGAGAGACCCCGAGGCCAGAGGAGGAAAGGTGCCCAGAGAGATAAAGGCCCAGAGCATCCAGCAAATTTAGCAGCCACTTTGAGGACCTCAAGAGGCAAAGGCCAGGCTGAAGCCACATTGTGAAGTGACCCTGGTCCTCCTATTCTGGCTTCTACCCGAGAATCATCAATAACCGTGCAAGGGGAACTTCTGACACCTGACCGCCCAGTTTGCCTTGTCCACTGCCAAACAGCTTTGTTGCACTCAGGTGGAAAACCTGAGCCAAGGTATGTCATCGGAGGGCATAAACAGATGCACGATGTGCTCCAGGGTTCTTTCCAAGTGCTTCACTCAGGGTGGGTCACGGATGCCCCGACTAGCAATCTTCATCTCTCAGAAACCACTCAGTTGTGGGAGGGCAAAGAAGCTGTTTTGTCAGGCAGCCTCGACTATGGTGATAGTTGCATCCTCTTCTGGACTCTCCAGTTGCCATGGGAACGGGAGGGAATTACTTCCAGCCAATGGTTTCCCAGCAGATATGCATTTCAGTTTTCTGCTAACCCCACTCTCAATCAGCAGGGCTGACCAGATGGAAACCCAGAGGGCCTGAGAGGAAAGGAGGGAAGCTTCCTTATAGTTCCTTGTTCTCCCTGGTCAAGTGCTATTACCAGACTTTTGGAGGTTTCACAGCAGGAGGCAAATAGACTTCTTCAAAGCCACAGTCACCTTCATCACTTCTCGTGGCAGAGAGCAGCCTCTGCACCCCCCCCCCTCCTGTTAGACTGCCTCTTCCCAGGAGATGATGGGCTGTGGTGGCAGAAGAGCCAATCCTAGCAGCAGGTGCAGGAGGGCACCAGGTTGGGGAAGCTTGCAACAGGTCATGTTTCCACACAGAGAAAATGGGACTGGGGCTCCCTGTCTCTTCATCCTTGCTATCTGCATCCATTCTGCTAGGGAGGCAGTCCTTGGGGGGGGAGGGGGCAGAAAGCTTTCTCCCCAGGGGAAATGGCACAAATTAGGTCATTTTCACTGCAGGAAGATAGGAATGCCTCTGGCCCTTCCCCCCTGGGTGCATGCTATCAGCAAGCAGGGGAGGTCTCTCCCAACAGTAAGATGGAATAATAATAATTTTAAAAATGGGCAAGAATTCGCTGAAGCCCAAAGGCTGTTACATCACCCACCAGAGTATGCAAAATGGCAGAACCAGGGGGACACAGCAAAAATCAACCACCCTGTACATGAATCGCACAGGGTACTGCGTGAGCAGGCTTAGAAAGAAATGCCATTGCAGAAGAAGAATATTCCTGAGTTCCATGGCTCTCACAGTGAAAGCTGTGGGTGTTTCGGTACCTTTCAGATTTCAGTGTGTAAACACCAGAACCTTCTTCTATCATCAAGGGCAGTGACCAGGTCAAAATCTGCATCTAGGCTGTCCTGAAAAAGACAAGGCAGGTCCATGTCCTTTCAGGAAGGTGGAGATGGACAGGGGTCAGTCTGACATGCTGCATTTGGAACTCCTGTGATGTTCTGACCTGTCCTAATGGGTGGGCAAAGATGCAAAGGGGAGCAGCTCCTGGGGTCCTATAAATTGGAGAGTGGTGATGCAAAAGACAGAATTTCTCACCTGTCCATGACAAGCTGCAACTGGCAAAACCTTGGGATAAAGGTGAGAAGCGGGCATACCCAGGATTTTATTTTTTTATTTTTTTGAAGGGGCAGCCAAAATTGTTGCGCTGTTTTTTAAGGAAATCAAGTTGTCGAGCTTTTCTTGGGAAATCACGGGTAAAAATACCCTGTAAACAGAAGATCGCAGGTAGGGTGAGGACAAACCTTGACAGAAGTAAGCACAGCACTGAAGTCCATGGAGCTTAGTGCCAGGAAACAAAGGAAAATTGTAATGATGTTGAGCCCAATAGATAAACTAAGATGCAACTGCGGTGTGCATAGCTGCCCCCGGGTTCCTTTGCCTTGAACGGCTGCCTGCAGGCAACAGATCAACAGCATCACGGAGGCGTTGCTGCGAGAAGAAAGCTGCGCCTGTTGAACCTGTGCGGGGGGGGGAGGAGCAGAAGGAGGACCGGCAACCCAGATAGTACCGTGGCTTTAGAGCGGGAGTGGGGGGCGCGGATGAAGCAGAACCTCCCTGCGCCGGAAATTCGAGCCGTTACCCTTTTAAGACTCCCTGGCGCTGGGCGGGGAGGAGGCGCGGCCTAAGCTCGGGGCCACGCCCACCCTTATAAAAAGAGGCTGCGTCTCTCGTCCGCCTTCATTGAGCCAGGAAGTCGCGGTCCGGAGAGGTGCCGGGAGATGGCAGCGGCGGCGCGTGCGCAGTAACAACGCTGCGGGGACACGGGACATGTCGAGCCCCGGCGCTGCCCTACGGGTAAGGGCGGGAGGCAGGCTGCGGGAACGGAGAGAACGTGAGGATTCGGGGACACGTGTAGATTTTTTTTTTTGATGGCGTCAGCATAGCCCCGGGCCGGGGCAGCGCGAGCGCAGCGGCGCCTCGCTAGGGCGGGCTGGAGACCTGGGGTGGCGGCGAAGCGCCCGACGGGGCTTCCACTCTTCGTGGGTCAGATGCTGATGCTGCTGCCGCCGCCACTGCGAAGGGGCGAGAGCGCGACCCGCTTTGCCCGCCGCTCGGTTCCCTCCCGCCAAGGTTGGCCGGGCTGTGCCGTCCTGCCCGTCGAGGCAGCCTCCGCCTGCGGAAGGGCGGCTTAGTCATCCCCGCCCTGGAAGGAGGACCGGCGGCGGCGGCGGAGAGGAGGGCGACGGGGCACCTGCCGCGCAGGTAGGGCGAGGGCCGTTGCCACGCAACCGCCCGGGCGGAGGCGGCGAGCTGCTGCCCGACGGGGCATCCCTGTCTCCTCTGCTGCCTGCCCTTCGCTCCCTGGCCCGCTCCCGAAGGGCTTCTCCGGCGCACGGTCTCTTCCTGCCGCGGCAGGTGTGCATGACGGAGGAGCGCAAGCCCGCCCTCCGCTCCCACCTCTTCAGGATCGGTGCCTTCAGCTGCGGCGAAAACGTTTTGCACGGGATGCAGAGGAGAGGGACTCGGGGGACACCTGGGCCGCGACGTCACTACCCCCCCTTGCTTCTTGTGCCTGCGCGGTGTCAGGCTCCCTTGTCGCCGCCTGGCTGGGAAACTGAGGCACTGGCAGGGAAAGGCTGGTGGGGCGAACGGCAGCCATTGTCTCACTGGTGCCAGCCTCTGGGCCGGGGCAGAGGAGGGGTCGCTGCAGCGGGAGCAGCTTCCAGGGCGGCGCAAGGTGGTGGGTGGCAGCTTGAGCCTGCCACTGAGCCCCAGGCCTCCTCTGCATCTTGGGTTTCCATGACATTTTCCTTAGAAGCTGGTCTTTTCCTGTGATCCAAATGATAGCAGCCAAACATGAAAGAGGGAGCGATTTCTGTGCCTGTTTTCCCTGGCCTTGGAAGCTTGGTGCTTGCATGTGTGCCATTTCTTCCTAGGTGCAGATAGGGCTGTCCTGGTTGGTCCTGTTGGGGTGACTGTTGACGCCGGTTAAGGTTAGGATGTCTCTCAGCCCCTGCACATGTCTGCTTGGACATGAGCATCACGAAGGTTGCTGTGTAAGCGCATTGAGGACTACAGCCTTAAATCCCTCATTTTTGAAACCTGGTGTTGCACCCTGGCTGCGTCTCAAGAGGTCTTGTGCACAATGGCCTTTAAATGGCTTGACCAGCATGCTGCTTCATCTCTGCCTGCAGGTTTTCAGTTCTTAATATTTGCTGGGATGTGGTGAATTCTGCACCCCCGCCGTTTTATAGAAAGGCGCATTTTGGCAAGGCAGAAGGTAGGGCCAGTTCCGAGGGGGCAGAACAGTGCGCTTGAGGTCACAGGGCATTATTTCTGGAGATGGTTCTGCTACTGTGATGGCCCTTCATGCAGCAAATTCCCTTACTCTTGAGAAGGCACATTTGCTGAGGCACTGTTGATATGTGCACTGCTTTTTGTGCTTGTTGGACTACCAACTTGCAGCAGCTGGCATGACCAGTAGTCACTGAGGGATAATGGCAGTTGGAGTTCTGCAACACATTGATGAGGGCACCATGTTGGTTCTTAGCTCAGAACTATTCAGATAGGAAAGGGGGTGGATTTGGGGATTTAGTGTGTTCCACTTCCATGTGCAGGAAACGGAGAGTGGTCAGCCTTTCCCTCGGTGGGCAAAGGCCCCTCAGGACTGGCCAGGAGCTGCCCATGTTCTCAAGTGTGCAAGCACCAGGCTAGTTGAGTGAGAAGAGACTTTGGTGTAAAATTGCTTTGCCTTATCTTTCTGAAATCTGCAAGGGGTGTGTGTTTGAAAGCAGCTGATGTGTTGGACCAGCCTCTATAGTTGGCTGAGGCTGATGGGACTTGTAGTCCAACAGATCTGGAGGCAGCAGGCGGGCGAAGGCTGACTTGTATCCTGGGCTGATCAATTGTGTTCTTTAATGGTTTTGATTCTGGTCAGTCAGAGGGGGAGGGAGGCATCTGACAACCCCCTAACTCTAAAGGGGCGAAGAATCTTCTACTGCTTCTTTGGCAACAAATGTGGAGTCTATTATCACTGCTGTCTAATGTGGGAGCTCTCATAAGTTGTCACGTCCAGGACACACGGACACACACACACCAAGTTTCTTCTTTAGTTGATTTAAATTTTTATTAAAAAAAATTAGCTAACAATTGCATCTTCAGAGTCAATCTGACAAAGATGTTATTCCCTCACCTCTTCTACCTGGAGAGTCCAAGTTGCATTTCTTGTGCGGAAAATACACACTTGCCACAATGCACTTCCCCAGTTTCGTTGTGGAGATGTAAGCATGTACAAAGCAGGTTGAGTTCTGTTGTGTTGGATATGCCATGTCTGTTCCAGTTCTTATCATGGGCCAAGGGTGATAAACTGGCCTCCAAACATCCTCTATTTATGGGGTGGGGGGAGAGCTTTGGGCATCAGTTCTTCTCAACATCTGAGATGCCGAACCTCTGAGCTTTGGAGTAACTTTAAGGCTCATATCACAGACAGGACAATTGCAGTGGAGATTCTTCCCAGAGGCAGGCCAGGAGAGAGATTTGAACCAGGGACTTCAGAAGTCAGCCTCTTAGCTGTGCTTCTCCCTCCCAAGCAGTCCCCTTCCCCTTTCGGGGTCATTTCCAGGGGTACACACCATTCTCAGGGCCCATGACCCCGGGGTCCTTCTGCAAGCAAAATCCAGCCTAAACCCCCACTGCGTTCGCTACTCAGTGTTGGAAATGCAAGAGGAAAGGGGCTCTTCTTTCCTAAATAAGGGGTTCCTTGAGACAAGGTTGCCACCTTTAAAGGCCACCGTGGGTTTCAGGAGATTCTCAGCTCCCAGCTCCCAGCTCCCAAGAAAGAAATGTCAGCTTTGTTGCCGTCCATCCAGCAAGGGATTCTCTCTTGGACTCACCAGACCATCTCCCCATTCCTCGCATGTCTAGCTCTTCCCCGCCACCCCAAATCCTGGTCTCGCTTTGCTCAATTCTTCTGCCTCAGATGTAAGTTTTCTTTCTGCAACTCTGAGCAAACCCAGGGCGCTCTCTCTCTCTCTCTCTCTCTCTCTCTCTCATAGGTTTTTTTTGGGGGGAACCTACCAGAGTTTGGAAGTATGTACAGAGTTTAGCGTCCATGTAGGGAGAAGTCAAGGGTTTAGTCCTTGTGGGCTTGTTTGGCGTGTGAGGATATCTGGGGAGCTCTTCAAAAGGCACTGCGGCGCAGGACTCCATGAAACATGAGTGTCCCTTCCTATGGCAGCATCTTAGAGTTGGAAGGGACCCCGAGTGGCTGGGGAAACCCAGCCAGATGGGCAGGGTATAAATATTATTATTATTATTATTATTATTATTATTATTCTGTCCAGGCCTCTGCAATGCAGGAGTCCTGAATGGGAATCGAACCCATGACCTTGGCATTATCAGAACTACACTCTAACCAACCAAGCTAAGCTCAGGGGTAAATGACGTATTTGAGTCCAGTAATGTTATCTGGGTGCATTTTCAGGAGTTTCATGGGTGGTGTTGGTTGTTTTGCAGAATTTAGCTGTTCGTGACCGAATTTTTGCCTCCATTGTCAAACCCTCGCCATCATCTCCTCCGGTCTTCTTTCTCGGCTGCCTTTTGCATTGATCTGCGCAGCTGCCCCTTGGCTGTCAAAATCCCCTCCCACCTGTGCATTTCTCCCTTGAAAACTCAACTCCACTCCCTTTGGGGTTTCTAGGGCTCTGCTCCTTCTGTGTCCCCAGGCAGTCGGATGTTTCTGTGGGTCAGGCTGTTCCATATGCTCAGTATGCTACATCTCTTCCAGCGTGCAGGAGACATGCCTTGTGCCCAGGCCCATAGGCCCACGTGCAAAAGCCCTGTTGGGTTCCTGAGCATCAGGCATGTGGACCAGGACACACCTGCTTCCCCTTTCACAATTGCACCCCTCTGTGTGTGGGTGGCTTCCATCTGTGATGGGCTGCAGCCCGCAATAGCCCTAGCAACTTCAGGAAATAAAGAGAGGCTCTAGCGTGTTGGGCAGGGTCTTGTTAAGGTTTCTTGTGTTGCTCTGCAGAGGCAGGCAGTCTTGTGGAAGGACCGCAGAGGAGCTGGGAGGTATAGCTGGACAGCCCTGGGCACTCGCACCTCACAAGACTTCCCCACCGCTTCTCATATTTACTCCCAAATCTGAGCAAACAAACAATCAGGTTTTCTCTGGATTGACGTTTGCTCTGATTTATTGCTTAAAGATGAGGGCTTTCCTGGGCAAAACCGCTCGGACCGAGTGCCTAGGAAGTGTGGGCAAAGCAGGAATCTGCTTTTTTATTTTACTGCCTTCCCTTGGCGAGCAAGCAGCCTTGAAACACTGCAACACCCTCCAGCATTTGCAAGCAGCACTTGGAGGGGAAACCACAGGAAATTATAAACGCAGAAATTGAGCGGCATCAGGAAACTGGTTTTTTCAGGCTCTCCTCACCTTAAGAGTCCAGGGGTGGGGGAACGGAACAGGAAGCCTGTTGAGGTTTGTGTTGAGTGGTGTGGCTTGCTGTGGGCGGCTGATCCTTCATTATTTTAAAGAGTAGCGGGTGGGTGGGAAGATACTTAGCAGGACTGAATGGTGGTACGGAGGGGAGGGGCCAGCAGGCTGCGGCTGGAGAAGCCCAGGTGTCTGTTGCAACCTGGAGCCCCAGATGGCCTGGCATCATCTACCTGTGAGCAAAATCCTGCAAGGCTGACGCCACTGGAGATTACGTAAGGGGCTGCACAGCACTCCTTTTATGAATTCTAGGAAGGACATGATACGTGCTACTTGCCAACAGTCCAGTTTGCACTGGCGGGGGGGGGGCGTTTCCTCTTCCCTCCCTCCCTCCCTCTCTCCTGGGTTTTATTGGGATCTCAGGAGCGTGTTTTGCGAAAGTGCCTCTGAGTTCAGCTCTGGATAAATCTCAAGGGGAGGAGGAGGAGGAGGAAATGACGTCATGTGGTTGTCAAGCAGGGAAGAGCTGCAGGCTGGGTTTGATGAGTTGGCTGCTAGTAATGGGTCCCTCCCTCCCTCCCTCTTTGGAGATTTACTCATGATACTTGGTGGTTAAGCAGGCAAAATTAGGTTACCACTAGAGAGAAAGAGAAGCAGCAGCTGCCTCCACCTCCGCCTCCTCTTCCTCCCTGTGCAAAAGGCAGGCTGGATAAATGCAGCTCTGTGTTCCCCCGAGGGCAGCATGGCGCCTCTCCCGGCACCCTGGCTGAACCACAGGAAGGAATCCCGGTTGTTGTTTTTTTATCTTGCCAGCCACTTGCTGTGGCCGCAGGAAGGTTTCTTGGCTGGCTGTCCTCTGCCTGATTTTTCTTTGGCTCTTCGTGCAAGATTCCGACCCACCCCCCTTCCTACTTTGCAGATCTCCATCTACTCCTTTTATGCGTTGACAGCATCGCAGGGCTTTGAATATGTTTCACTGGATGCAAGCAGTTAAAACAAAAACCCACTGCTGTAATAAATGCTACAGTACAGTGGTACCTCGGGTTAAGAACTTCATTCGTTCCGGAGGTCCGTTCTTGACCTGAAACTGTTCTTAACCTGAGGTACCGCTTTAGCTAATGGGGCCTGCCGCTGCTGCACCGCCGCCATGCGATTTCTGTTCTCATCCTGAAGCAAAGTTCTTAACCCGAGGTACTATTTCTGGGTTAGCGGAGTCTGTAACCTGAAGCGTCTGTAACCTGAGGCGTCTGTAACCTGAGGTACCACTGTACAAGCAGCCTGTTTAAAGCATCCTTGAGATAGGTTTGGATTTCAGCTGACTCGCAAGTCACTGACCATTCATCCCGCCCAATTTTTTCGCCCCCCAAAGGGGACCTGAGATATGTGGCTTCTGGGAATGTCTGTATCCCATTGGTGGGAGCTGGTGGTCAGTGTTGTGGACTGGGAGCTGCCCCCATGACTGCCCTGTAAGATTTGACGGCAGCTGAAGGTTCTCTGAAACTCGGGCTCTCATTAAGAGAGGAAAGAGGCAGTGGCTGGACCCCAGGGCAGGAGGAATTGGAATCGCCTCCTGGGAACCTGGCAAAGAACCTTCCTCCCTGTGCTGCTTTGATGCCGCAAAAGGACAAAGTTGTTATGGACTGACTGCCTGGACACTTCCTCTCCCCCCCCCCCCACCTCGTGTATTCAGAATTTGGACACACAGCAACTTCCTTCAGGGATTTCAGCCTTCACCTGACTCTGCGTTTTTGTGCTGCCTCACTTTGGGTCCCATTTTTGCATTTTCTGGGCCATAATCCAATTTGTAGTTTTGGCTCTCCCTTCCAAGGGAGCCTGGGAGCCTTCCTCTATGTTCCTTTGCTTTTACTGTTAGGCTTGTCATCAGCATCCCGGGCACTTGTCAGAGTAGCAGAGGTGAGTCTCTGCCCCAAGGAGGCCACAATTGCAGGGAGAAGCCTCTTGCCCCTCTCTCCCTGAAGAAAGTTTTGTTTTTCCTTGCAAGCTTACAGACTGTTTAAAAGCCACCTGCTGCACTACCTGCCTCAGCGACAGTTTCTGCATTAATTTTGTGGGTATTGTAAATCCCACCCACCCATCCCCCACCCTCAGAGTCTTTTCCTGGTTGCATAACTTGAAACTCCAGGAAGTGCACTCAGGGTACTAATTTTGTTGCCTTCTAAAAAGAATTAGGTTAGGGTAACTGGAAGCATTTGCTGCAAATCCCTGAATTGTGCCCAGAGCTATGGGAGCCCCGGATACCTGGTTCCCTGCACCCAGGGGGGGTGCATGCTGTTATTTAATGATTTGAAAGCGACCTCCACATAAGGCACCCATATTTAGCACCAGAAGTCTGCTGCTGCTGCTGCTATGATGATGATGATGATGATGATGAGAGCCAGCCTCAGCATCAATAATAACATCACCACCATCCTAATGGTGCAGCAATAAAACTGCTAGCACATTTGCAAAGCTAAGCAGGGTCTGGTGTGGTTTCAAACTGGATGGGGAACCACGTTTTGAGATTGCTTTATTGGAGAGGGTTGGACTGGATGACCCCTGGGGGTCCCTTCCAGCTCTCTGATTCTGTCCCTCCATTTTGGTGAGCTTTGGGCTGACTTCCTTCCCTCTCTCTCTGCCTCCCCCCCCCATCCCAGTTTGGCTCTTATAGCATTGCGAGTTCCCCTCTCTTGGTGGCTTCCATTTGTAGAAAATGGGTTTACGTCTGCTTCACTTTATTTTTGAGGAGGGAGGAACTGGGCAATAAAACCATCCCCAACCCCACCCCACCCACCCCCGCCGCCAGACTCCTGAAAAAGGCCAGGGAGTGGGAGGATCTTTCCGTCCTCGCCGATGTGCTGATGGCAGTGGAGGCTCTGCATTCCAGAACGGTTTCAAAACGAGAGCTGGTTGCACAACACCCCTGCGGGCGCTGCAGGGGGCAGGCTGGCACAAGGTGTTCTGTGCTTTCCAGGTTTGGCACAGCCCACTGGGATTTTCATATAGCCTGAGCAGGAGGGTGCAGGTGGCCTGAGCCCCACAGCCTTGGGGGGGGGGGCACAGTGGGGCTGTTAACCAGTGTCCTGGGGAGTGTGTCCACCTTTTGGCTTTCGCAAGATGGCAAATGGGGTCTGTTTTGCCCAGAAGGTTACCTGCCCCATCTCTTCAGGGGGTGTGGAGGGAGGTTCTTGTGTTTACTTTGATGGGACTGTGCCTTGTGCTGGAGACATACTTTATTTTGCAATGCTGATACAGTGGTACCTCAGGTTAAGAACTTAATTTGTTCTGGAGGTCCGTTCTTAACCTGAACCTGTTCTTAACCTGAGGGTACCACTTTAGCTAATGGGGCTTCCCGCTGCCGCCGCGCGATTTCTGTTCTTATTCTAAAGCAAAGTTCTTAACCCGAGGTACTATTTCTGGATAAGCAGAGTCTGTAACTTGAAGCGTCTGTAACTTGAAGTGTCTGTAACCCGAGGTACCACTGTTTACTGTGTTTTGATTAGAAAGAAGGTGCCAATTTGCAGTGCTGAGAGGAGGAGGGGAAGGGAGCAGAGTTTGAAATTCGCCATGCGCTTTTTGTACCTGTCTGTCGGCCACTTGCGGCCAAGTGAAGGTGCCCTGGCACCAGCATGGACCCTGGTGTCTCTACCGTCTGGAGGCACATGCCTGGGGATCCTTGGATCTTGACTGTTTCTACACACTAGCAACACATCCTGTAGAATTCCACCCGTTATTTTTTATCTGCAGAATCGGAATGAATTTCAGGAACCCAAAAGTCGTATTGAAACACGGCTCCCTAAATGGGGACTAGGCGTTACGCGTTGGCGGCTGTAACCCTGGTTTAAGGAGCTGTTTGGCGCCTAACTTATATAGCTGATTTAAATATCTGAGCACTGCCAAAGGAGCGCGCTCTCTTTCTCTTATACCCTTCCAAACCCAGCATTATTTAAATCAGCTGGTTGGGGGGGGGACTGAGTGCGGGTAGCAGTGCTGGGAAGGAGTCTGCACTGGGGATATGGGGAGCCGTAGCCACTTCCGCACTCCCTGAATGCCATTTCCCTGCCCCACCATCACCAAGAGGCTCCTTTGAAGCTTTAAATCTGGGCTCGGGAACCTGAGGGTTTGTGGACCAGTGACAATGGGAGCTGGAGCCCAGCAATGTCTAGATGTCCATTCAGGTTCCCCTATCACCCTCCCCTTTAAACAAAGCACCAGGAAACCCGACGGTGGCATTTCCTGCCTTAGCTATTGCAAGCATATGTGAAAATGTTTGCCCACTCCGAGTGAGGGCAATGCTTCCTGCCATCGCTCTGAACAGGCTATGTAATACAATCACGTCAGGGCTCAAATCGTGGTGTGTATGGGGGAGGAAGGGTAGCTCTCCAGGGTTCCCTCCCAGCCTTTACCCAGAGATGCCGCTGGGGATTGACGCAGGAACCTTCTGCACTCCAAGCAGGTGCTCTGCCACTGAACTGAGCTACAAGGAGGGCCCTTGACCTAGAATTGCTACACAAGCCAGCTTCTCCTTCCGCTGTTGTGAGCCTTGAAAAATTCTTCCTGGGTTGACCCTGGACCTTTGTTGGCTCTGCTGCATGGGACTAACACACCCTTGTTTGTCTGTCTCCCCCTTTTTTAAAGGCTGCTGAAGTAGCTGGCTACCTGGCGAGGACAGTGGACTTCTGAAAGCGCAGACGTCAGCCAAGCAGCATGTCCACGGCCGGCATTGCAGCTCCGGAGATGAGAGTCCCCTTGAAGAGCAGCTTCCTCCACAAGGGGCAAGGCATTGGGAGCCTCAAGCCCTGTTGGGGAGGCCATTTTGAAAAGTGAGTCTTCCTTCAGGGAGGGTACCAGATCTTTTCTCCCACTCACATCACTTTCTTGCACTTGGGTATGGGCTAGTGATGGTGGCTGGGCCTTTTGCGGCTGTCTCTTCTTCACCTACTGATTCCCTCCTGTCTCTCCTGGAAAGTATCCGGTCAGGTTTAAGGTGCTGGTTTGACCTTTAAAGCCTTTTGTGGCTTAGGGCCCTCATATTTACGGGACCACCTCTCCTGTTATGCCCCGCAGAGGACCTTAATCTCCATGAATAGTCATAGTTTAGAGGTCCCGGGCCCTAAGGAGGTCAGATTATCATCGGCCAGGGCCAGGGCCTTCTCAGTGATGGCTCCGATCTGGTGGAATGCTCTGTCCCATGAGACTAGGGCCCTGCAGGATTCAACTACCTTTTGCAGGGCCTGTAAGACAGAGCTATTCCACCTGGCTTTCAATTTGAACTTAGCCTGATCTTTTATTCCCCTTCCTTCCCTCCCCTTTTTATGAAGATTACCTCCTCTGGGATCCCACAGCTAATTCTCCCCTGGTCTCCTCGCTGGCCCAAATAGGACTAATTTAGCCAGCTAGCCCTGGTGATCATCTAATGTTTATTGGATGGATTTCCCCCCTAAACTGATTTTTGAATTCTGAATTTATTGTTATTCACGTTTTATGCTGTATTTTATGCTGTTTTTTTGTTGCACCAGTTAAGTGTTTTAAATTTGTTGTTAGCTGCCCTGAGCCTGGTTTTCTGAACCAGGAAGGGCGGGCTTTAAATAAAAATTTATTTATTTATTTATTTATTTATTTATTATTTCAGCCCTTTCTTTAACATGGAGCCCGTAGCAATGGCCTACAATCTGAACTCGTCCGCACAGCATCACTTAACGTCCATCGGTAGGTACCTGGCGCCGCCGTCAACCTCAGATTTATTTGTGTTGCAGCTCAGAGCTCTTCAGTTGTGACTCCCCCTCCTCCTTCCACTAGCAATTTGGCTCCTGAAGATATCCGCTTTTTCTTTCTATTGAAGAGGGGGAGGAAGGTTAGCAGGCAGCAGAAAAACCAGCAGTCTTGGCAGCCAGAGCCCTGGAGTGCCCCATGCTGTCTTGCTTTTAATAATAATAATAATAATAATAATTAACAAAACAAAACAAAACAAAATAAACCAAGAATAAGGAGCATAAAGAAATACTGTTACAGCAAGTTGAAGGCAGCATTGCCACTGAGTTTGTTGTTCCATAAAGTTACAAAAAACCCACACCATACTTTCCATAAACTTGTTAGGATAGTTTGTATGCATTATTTTGTAATAAGTAACCTTAAGCATAATTATTACAGACCAAATCGTATCAGTCCGCTCAGATGTAGTAGGAGATAGGCTTTTGCCCGCATTTTTTAGCTGCAATCTTAGCAGCGGTTAATCGGGTTTTGAACACTATTTCTTGATCATTTACTGGAATAACGTGTTTTAGACAGCCAAGCAGAAATATTTGAGGTTCCGAGGGCATATGATATCCTAACACATCAGAGATACTGGCCTGAATGGATTTCCAGGGTATTTCTATTTGAGAGCAGTTCCAAAAGATGTGTACGTGAACTGCTTTATTTAATCCACGTCTCCAGCATTTATCTGATCCTATCTATCTATAGTTCAATTTATAAGGTGTTAAATACCATTGAGCGAAGGTTTTTAAATAGTTCTCCTGAAATTATATTAGAATGGAAGTTGTCCGAAATCCAGTTCCATTCTTTCCTGGCTGTTCTTTGATCTAAATCCTCATATATGTTATAAATATTATATGCATGTATATCTAGATCTGACTATATACATCTGTGCATCTGAGTGCACAATTGAGGCCGAATGGCTCTAAGGTCAGGGAGGCTTGTGATACCTCACCCAGCAGTGCTGAGAGGGATGGAGTCAAGGAGGGGCTTTTGCCATGTCTGTGAGGCTCCCAGAGGCACCCGGTTGGCCACTTGGGCTCCATCCAGCCCCTTTTAATAGAATTGCAGAGTTCTCAGGGGACCCCAACGACCATCTAGTCATCTAAGAACATGGCAGAGGAGGCGGGGTCTATCCATATCTCCTAGCCAGTGGGACCTCCGTGATCAGAAGCTGTCTACCAGTCTCAATAAAAGCCGTGTGCTGGCAATGAACAGCCGGGTGAATCTGGCTTTCTCCACTGCGAGGTGCTGGGCAGAGGCAGCGCCTCTGTGGCCTCATCCAGCAGCCACGCTCGCTCTCCCCTTTGGGGAAAGTTGCGCATGAAGTGCCCTGTGTCTTGAGATTAGCAACTCACCCTTCTTCCCCTCTCCCTCTCAGGCCACATTTCAGACCCTGATCCAGCACAGAACGGCGGCAGCGACAAGCCCAGCCCCAACGGAGAGAGGCCAGAGGATCGCGGCCTAGTCCCCGCCTTCGGCAGGCTCTCCCTCGCCGCGTCCAGCGAGGCTGCTCCCCCCACGCCCATCAAGGGCGGGCCATCGTTCTCCTTCCCCCCGGCACCTCCGGGTACCGAGCGCAGCACCCGCCCGCTTCCCCCGCTGCCCATCCCGGAGGATTTCGTGCACGACGATGTGGACCGGGAGGTGGAGTTCCTCACCAGCTCCGACACAGACTTTTTGCTGGAGGAGTGCAGCGGCCCTGCTTTCAAGCCCGCCACCTATGGCAGGCGGAGCTTCCGGGGCTGCGGGCAAATAAACTACGCTTACTTCGACGCCCCGGCGGGATCGAAGGCAGAAGAGCCTCCCTCCGCTAAGCAGAGCGGGTGTCCGGCCGGGGTCTGTGCTGCTGTTGCTGCTGCTGTTCCTCCGCCTCCTCCTCCTCCGGCTCCCACGGCGCATCAGCTCCACCGCCGGTTGCGCCGCTCGCATTCCGGGCCAGCCGGGTCCTTCCACAAACCGGTGGTGAGGGTCTCCAGCCACTTCCGCCGGGCGTCTCCCAGCTCGGACGACGACAAGCCCGAGGTCCCGCCCAGGGTGCCCATCCCGCCCAGGGTGCTGAAGCCCGACTACCGGAGGTGGTCCGCCGAAGTGGCTTCCAGCGCCTACAGCGACGAGGACAAACCGCCCAAGGTCCCCCCGAGGGAGCCTCTGTCCTGCAGCAACTCCCGCACGCCCAGCCCCAAGAGCCTGCCCTCGTACCTCAACGGCATCATGCCGCCCACCCAGAGCTTTGCCCCGGACCCCAAGTACGTCAGCAGCAAAGCGCTGCAGCGGCAGCACAGCGAGGGCTCGGGCAGCCGGGTGCCCTGCATCCTGCCCATCATCGAGAACGGCAAGAAGGTCAGCTCCACCCACTACTACCTGCTGCCCGAAAGGCCCCCCTACCTGGACAGGTACGAGAAGTTCTTCCGGGAAGCGGAAGAGGGCAGCAGCCTGAGCGCGGAAGGGCAGCTGCCGCCGTCCCTCTGGCCCGAGGCTCCGGAAGAGGAGGCAGCCGGCCTGGCCGGGATGCTGAACGTTCCGGTCAAGCGCAAGCACTTGCCCTGCATGGTGTCTCCGTAGGGAAGAGGGAGCCTCGCGAGGAAGGAGGCGTCGGGGAGCTGGCCACAGGCCTTTCGAGGATGAGGAAGAGGGGCAGAAGCCCGGCCCTCCGGCTTCCGGAGAGGAGCAGGGGGAGGCCCCTCTGTCTGGTGCTGCAGCCGCTGCCTGCGTTGGGCTCGGCTGCCTGGCCCTGGCGGTTCTGGTCCGGGAGAGGACTTGGAGGAGGACGCGAGCGTACATAGCCAGCATTGGCCAGTTGTCATTCAATATTCTTAGAGCAAACTTGCATAAGTAGGGAAAGAATTGCACTCTTGCTAACAGGACAAGCTGCTTCGGCTGGAAGCAGAAGAGAAAAGAAGCCCCATTCAGTATTCTTTTTTCTGCACAGTGGTGGCCACAGTGTGTTTCCACCCCCGCCCCCTTAAAAAAAACCCCTTTCTGCCAATATTTGCTCTTCTCCCACTGGTGGGGAATCCCAGCAGGAATTATCCTTGCGGTGGGAGGAGATTTGGGGGGGGGGGAGGGCGGCAGGGAAGTCCACCACCCATTTCTGAGCTCGCCTTAGTTTGGATGGGCTGTTCCACATGTTTTAGACTTTTGGTCTGGGGTGGGGAATCTTGCCCCCGGTTCCTAATCTCCACCTACCCACACCCGGCCACTCAGATACTTGCCACAATTCAACTGGTTCTCCTTTACCCACAGCTTCTGGCTTTGATGAAACCCGAGAAGGACTTTTGTGCGCTAGCTTTAGTGGGTTCCCGGCGACTGTGTGTGTCCTTGCAGTTGGGTAGCTGGAGCTCAGTCTGAACAGCACCCTGGGTGAAGCAGCAACCCCCCTTTCCCCACCACCCCAATATTTTAAAAAATGGGACCAACTTCTGTTCTCCAGGTGGTGTTGGGAGAATGTGTTTATGCATAGCAGTGAGGCCCAAGCTGGTCTTGAGCCTGTCTTGTCCAGTGTTCTGCAGGATGGTGGAAGAGGCTGGGCTCGCGTTACCGAGTCCTCTTTGAAGGCGGCCCAGTCAGGGTTGGTGAAGGGTGTTGCCGGCTCTCTCCCCACCCCCCTTGCACACTCGCACGCACACCCACACACTTCCACTTATTCCCGCAGGCCCCAGGGGGACGGTGCTTTCTGGTCAGGGTCCAGCGTGGCCTTGGCTTTTCCCAATGGACGCAACTGCGGTTTACAGTGTAAAATAAAGTTCGCTTGGGAGTTGTTGTTGCCTCCCACCCCTCTGAAACCGTCTGGGAAGCTGACTTGGTTCTAGTACAAACTCTAAATGAAGGCAATGTTCACATTCTGGAAATAATATTGATAATAATGCACTGAGAGAGGTCCTGCATCAGGTGTACAGTATTGAGGAAGAATGACGTCGTTCACTTTGTATTTTGGAATATTTCCGTGTCTTGGATTTTAATAAAGTTATAATGTACTTATTTATGATAACACCACCTCGGCTGCCTCGTCTTGTGTGGGGGCTCTGCTTCCCTTTCGCAAAAGCGGCAGAGCAGCGAGCTCTCGCCGCCGCCGCCTCCACCTCCTCCTCCCTCCTGGTGCATTTTAGGGGTGCGTCTCCTCGTCTCCCTGCTTGGCCAATGAGAAGCTCCCTGGAATCATGCTATGCAGCTTATCAAGATTGGGCAGCTTGCCACCGGTGCTTGGTTTCCAGAGCCACCCAGCACGTGGGCAGGCAGGATGTGCAACTCCCAGGGTGTTTCTTGACCTGTCCTGCGTTGTAATTGTGGTTTCTGGGCTGGTGGCAGGGGCTGACACTTCCAGGACGGGTTGGGTGGGCAAGCCCTGAAGTCTGTTCCCCACCCCACAAAGCCTCTCCCTGGCTGGGCTTGCGTTGTGAGAGCTGTGGGGCAGGTAGAAAGCCCTGGGAGATGGAGGGAGAGAAGGGGGCAGCAGAGGACTCAAGTGGAAGGGGGAGGAAGAGCCTGTACCAAGGTGGGTTGGTAGGATGAGGAGGAAGCCCCTTCTCTGACTGTTAAAGGGGAGATGAACAGGAACCCCATCTCCTTCCCTCTGCAAATGTGGCTTCTGCCATGCAAATGGTGTGCAGCCACATTAATGCTTCTATCACCTGTTTTGGTGCTTGGAAGAAGTCCTCCTCAAGCATTTTGAGTCCTGCCAAGGGGTTGGCATCTCTCCCCACCCCGTCCTCGAAGCTGCAGCTTGATTTCCATGAAGCCTCTTCTGCCCCCACCCAGGCAGTACATGAAATCCTCCACCACCACTCCCTTTTTCAGAAACATTTCCCTTTTTCCTCGTTTTCTATTATAACACTCTTTTTTCTGGAATAGAACTGGGGATGTGTGTGCAGGGGCCGATGACTAGATGCCCTCTGAGCTACTGAACTGATGTCTTAATTTTACTCATAACAAAAACAGGCATGTCTTACACGGCTTTTTAAGAAGAAAACTGTGTCTGCAGCCTAGGAGCATTTTTGCCACCCAGTTATTAACACCTGAGTACCTGAGGCTGTGGAAGGCATTGCTTCAGTGCCTGTAGACAAACTGCCTTGAAGCTCCTTGCAGCCTTCAGCCTTTCTCAACCTGTGGGTCCCCAGATGTTCTTGAACTACAACCCCCATCACCCCTAGCTAGCAAGGCCAGAGCTCAGGGATGATGGGAGTTGTAGTCCAACAACATCTGGGGACCCACAGGTTGAGAACCACTGCTAGCTGCATCTCCACATAGTTAGGGCTGACTCCCCTTGCAGGACTGATGATATCTCTGCTCAGCACCTGCCTTCAGTTCTCAGTGTCTCTTGAGGGAAGGCCATGGACAATTTAAATGGTGCCAGAGCAAGGTGGGCAAAAGACGATGTGCAGTAGATCCGACTCCAAGCATTCAATAATGGAAATACCAAAAAACCACACAGTTGGGCTGGTGTAATTTATAGGAAGGTCGGGAGTTGATGGTCAGAAATGTGTGTTGTGTGGAAGGATGCTCTGAGCTGTACCCGGTTCTGGTACATACATCCATCAATCAATCAATCAATCAATCAATCAATCAATCATGGGCTTAGAATTCTTTAATTCTAGGTATGTGTTTTCCCCCTTGGCTCTGGTGCATGGTTTCCCAAACGTTGGGTTTCCAGCTCTTGTTGGACTACAACTCCCATCATCCCTAGCTAGTGGTCAGGGATGATGGAAACTGTAGTCCAAAAACTGCTGGAGACCCAAGTTTCCCTGCTCTGGTGGACGGATATCTGGGTTCTTGTATGTAGAGGTTGAGATTTGCAGGTTGAGGGCAGAGCCACAGATGCACCAGCCCATGGGCAGAAGAAGGCTGACCTCCCGTGTCCTGGCAGGTTGCTGTGGTGCCCGATTTGGGCCACCGTCTCTCTGCCTCGCCCTCCCTTCCCCTCCTGCTTGATACTGCAGCAGCACTGCCATAACCGGTGAGCCAAGGAGGCTCGTCCTGCTCCTCCTCCTCCTGCTGCTGCTGCAGTGCAGGATGTGACTTGTCAGGCCTCCTGTCTCGCTTGTGCAAATAGCTTCTTGATCACTTACTCAGATACTCAACAGCGAGGGCTTGGCGCTGCCTCAGGAAGGGGAGGTGGGAGGCAGAGGTGCTCCCCAGGAGGTCTGAAGGAGGCCTCCCTGTTAGAGAGGAGAGCGTTCTGTGGGTGGGTGGCAAGAAGAGGTAAGGAGATGCCCTCAGTGGACTGCAGGCAAACTCCACCAAATCTTGCTGCTTGAAGGTCCTGAAAACCACAGCAGAGAATGGGTTTGTTCTGTCTTTGCTTTGCCTCCAGGCCCTCTCCTCAGAACCACTGGCCAGTTGGTCCTAAGGCACCCAGGATTTGACCTTCAGCATCAATGTGGGGGAAATTGGGCCAAATTCCAGTGGACAGGCCTTCTGCCTTCTGAGAAATAAAGGCTGGGATTTTCTCCTTGACAGGCATTCGTTTATATGAGAGGGGAAGTGGTGCAGAGACTCAGTTAGGAGTAGCACAGACCTTGCCTTGTCCCTCCCCCTGCCATATTAGTGCACCCCCCATCCCATTCTGCAATACGAGAGGATGATCCTATCAATGTGTTTCTCCTCTTCCACAGTGCAGTGCTTACCTGGGGTTGCTTTCCTTTGGAGAAGAGAAGGGTGCAAACTTAGGTTGTCTCTGTAAAGTTTGAGCTTTCCTTTTCTTTCTTTTTTTACGAAATCTGCAAGTGAAACCTGTCTAGTGCACAGCCAGAGCGGTGGTCCTAATCCAGATTCTCCAAAGAGAGGAGGAGACCATCTGTAGGCCATCTCTGCTTCTGTAGGAAGCCACAGCAGGTGGCACTGTGGTCTAAGCAACTGAGCCTCTTGGGCTTGCCGATCAGAAGGTTGGTGGTTTGAATCCCCATGACGGTGTGAGCTCCTGTTGCCCTGCCCCAGCTCCTGCCAACCTAGCAGATTGAAAGCATGCCAGTGCAAGTAGATAAATAGGTACCGCTGTGGCAGGAAGGTAAACGGCATTTCCGTGCGCTCTGGTTTCCATCACAGTGTTCCGTTGTGCCAGAAGCGGTTTAGTCCTGCTGGCCACATGACCCGGAAAGCTGTCTGTGGACAAACGCCGGCTCCCTTAGCCTGAAGGCAAGATGAGTGTTGCAACCCCATAGTCACCTTTGACTGGACCTAACCGTCCAGGGGTCCTTTAACATACCTTTTACCTTGTAGGAAGTCACCTTTCTTAAAAGTTCCAGGCCATGAGGTGGGCACCAGTTTCCCATGCGACAAGCCTCATCACTTCTGGAGATGCCTTGAGCTGTAACCCTCACCAGTGATACTTCCATCTTTCTGCTGCTCCCATTCTTCTTCTTATATTGATGCTATAAACAACCCCAAAGTGCAATAGCAAAAGGTTAAAATTACATTGTGGACTTTAGGGAATGTAAATTGAATATTCAGCCACTTATTATTGAGGGGAAGTGCGTGGAACAGGTCTCGGTGTTTCGATTTCCGGGAATGGAGCTGAGAGACGACCTAACCTGGGGAGAGAACAGCAAAGACCTGGTGAAGAGAGCACAGCAGAGGTTATATTTTCTGAGAATCCTCTGGAAAAACAATCTCTCAAAGGACCTGTTGATGGCATTTTACCATTGCACTGTGGAGAGCGTACTAACTTATGGTCTGTGTGTGTGGTTTGGGAGCTGCACGGCCAGGGAAAAAACAATGCTATCCAGGGTTGTAAAGACTGCAGAGAGAATTATTGGGTGCACTCTTCCCACCTTAGATCAAATCTATGCTGCCAGGTGCCATAAGAAAGCGGCAGAGATAGCACATGATAGTACGCACCCAGGAAATGATCTCTTTCAGCTTCTGCCTTCTGGAAGATGGTATAGGGTTATAAAGGCCAGGACTAGCCGCCTGAGAAACAGTTTCTACGTTAATGCAATCCTGGTTCTAAACGCAGCATAAGGGGTCTCTGTAGTATAGTGTGTTTTAAAATGGGGTTTTAGAGTTCTTAGGGGTTTTTGAATGTTTTATGTAGTTTTGTAGTAGTTTTATGTAGTTTTGTAGTAGTTTTATGTAGTTTTTCAATTTCATTGTTCCGCAAGGGACAATGACAATAAAGATATCGTAATCGTAATCGTAATAATACATCATACAAAGTAAACAAGCAATAAACAAGAAGAGAAGGAAATGGTAATGGCACCAATATAAACCAACACATCCATATTCCCAGAGGTGGCGTGGAAGGTGAACGTTGAGCATCTTGGTCTGAAGCACAGGAAATAATCCCTGAAAAATCCCTGGAAACTCGCAGTTTCTGTGTAGTTTTATTTGGCAATAGCCAAAGTTGGTAAGTTCTACCACCACCCTGCCAAATGCAGGTTTTTCGAGGGTTATTGAGATCCTAGAGTGCCAGACTTATCTGTCCACACATTCAATAACAGCAATTGTGAGGAAGCCTGATTTAATCGTTCTAGATATTTGCTCTTCCTGTCCTTGCTGCAATTCCCTCTCAACAGGTGGGCTGTGCCCTAAATGGAAGAGGAAAGGGTGAGGGTTAGTTACAGGCTGAGCTTGGTACAGCGCCATTGTTAAGTTGTGGGTGAACATATCAGACGACACAGCGATTCTTCAGACAGCTCTTGTTTATTCACAGGCCAGAACAGAACTGAACTGAAGGGTTCAGCCAGCCTGCTTATGTAGAGCTCCAGCACAACGCAACAGTAACAACTTTCTGTAACTATCCAATCACTGAATGTCACTTTCAATTCCTTATTTGCATATGTGGACCTGAGTGAAAGCTATCTACAGTATCCCCTGCTGGCCCAGGATGAGAACTTCAGTACATAACAGCCATGGCTGTACCAACACTGGTGAAATGCCCCTCTTTTGCACAGCAGTGGGCTCCAAATGGCATCTTTGAATAGTCGTAGAGGCTGAGTTTTATGCCCTGCTTCTAAGGAACTGTAGGGAAACAAGCAAAGGGAGGAAGCCAGAACTTATCA